CTTTGGGCGAGGGGCAAGGCCGCCGCACGCGCGGCGGCCCTGAGCCACTCTGCGTGGGGGAAAGACGCTATGGGCGAGTGGCAGGACCGCCGCGCGCGCGGCGGCTTTGGGCCACTCTGCGTGGGGAACCGCGCTGTGGGCGAGGGGCAGGGCCGCCCTGGGCCACTCCGCGTGGGAAACACGCTATGGGCGAGGGGCGGGGCCTCCGGGCGCGCGGTGGCCATTGGCCATTCTGCGTGGGGCAGGGCCGCCCTGGGCCACTCCGTGGGCGAGGGGCAGGGCCGCCGCGCGCGCGGCGGCCCTGGGCCACCCTGCGTCGGGAAACATTGGAAGACACGCTATGTGCGATTGGCAGGGCCGCCGCGCTCGCGGCGGCAAAGGACCACTCTGCGTGGGGAAGCACGCTATGGGCGAGGGGCAAGGCAGCCGCGCGCGCGCGGCGGCACTGGGCCATCCCGCGTGGGGAACCACGCTATGGGCGAGGGGCGCGGCCGCCGCGCGCGCGTGCCGCGGGCATTTCTGCGTGGGAAATAAAACACGCTATTGGCGGAGGGGACAGGCCGCTGGGCCATCTGCGATGGAAAACACGCTTTGGGTATATGGGCGAGGGCACGCCGCCGGGCGCGCGAGGCGTGGCCTGGGCAATCTGGGTTTGAGAAAAAACCGTATATCTCTGATAATAAGAAAAATGGGCGCGAGTGGCAGGGCCGCCGCGTGGCGGCCCTGGGCCACGCTGCGTAGGAAAACATGCTATGGGCGAGGGGCAAGGCCGCCGCGCGCGCGGCGGTCCAGGGCCATTTTGCGTGGGGACACATGCTATGGGCGAGGGGTAGGGCCTCCGCGCGCGCGGCGGTCCCGGGCCATTCTGCGTTGGGAACCATGCTATGGGCGAGGGGCACGCCGCCGCGCGCGCGGCGGCACTGGGCCGTTAGTGTAGGGGGCCGCGCGCTATAGGCGTGGGGCACGGCCCGCCGCGCGCGCGGCGGCCCTGGGCCACCCTGCGTGGGAACGCGTGCCATTGGCGAGGGGCAGGGCCGCCACGCGCGCGCGGCAGCCCTGGGCCACTCTGCGCTGGAAAAAAACACGCTATGGGCGAGGGGCAGGGCCGCCGCGCGCGCGCGGCAGCCCTGGGCCACTCTGCGTAGGAAAACACGCTATGGGCGAGGGTCAGGGCCGCCGCATGCGTGGCGGCCCCGTGCCATTCTGCGTGGGAAAACACGCTATTGGCGATGGCCAGAGCCGCCGCGCGCGCGGCGGCCTGGGCCACCTGCGCGCGAAAAAACACGTATGGATGGGGGGCAGGGCGCCGAGAGCGCGGCGGACCGGGGCCTTCTGGTGGGGAACCACGCTGTGGGGAGGGGCAGGGCGCGCGCGTGCGGCGGCCCTGGGCCATTGCGTGGGAAGGAAAACACGCATGTAGGCGACGAGGCGGGCCGCGCGCGCGCGGCGGCCCTGTGCCAGTCTGCGGGGGAAGCGCTCGTGTGGCCATGACCACCCCCATTGGATTGGGCGCGCCTGCCACCCCCCCCCCCCCCCCCCCCCCCCCCCCCCCCCCACCCCCCCACCCCCCCCCCCCCCCCCCCCCCCCCTCCCCCACCACGCTCCCACCACACCCCCACCCTCCCCCCCCCCCCCGGCCCGCCGCCCCCCCCCCCCACCCCCCCCCCCCCCCTATCCTCCCCCTTCCAGGCTGGCGGACATGCCGCCCTTGAACAAAGTGCGCGGACATCTCGCCGCCGTTCGGGCGGTGCGCGGTCATGCGAATACCTCGAACTTAGCGGGCATGCCACTATTTGCCCAGCTGCGCGGGCAAGTTGCCCCGCGCTGAGGGTTCGCAAGCATATCACCCGCTATGTTCGCGGACTTAAGACACCGCATCCAGAGGGCGCGGGCAGACCGCGCCCCATCTCGGATGGCGCGTGCGCCGGTCGCATTATCACACCTCAGTCATTGCGGGCCTACCGCGATGTTGCAGGGCGTGTGGGCATAGCGCCCCCTTCTGAGTGCGCGGATACACAACCTCTTCGATGTGCGCGGGTAGCCGCCCTTGGTTTAGGCGCGGGGCAGGTCGCCCCTTTTTTGAACGCGAGCGGGCATATGGCCCCTCGGTGTTCTCGGGTGCACCCCCCGCAATCAGCGCGCGGGCAGACCGCCCCCGTTCGAAGGTGCGCCAGCACGTCGCACCTTCGATGTGATCTGGCGGCCACATCTACCAGAACGAACGGGGAAACCGTCGACGCTGAGGGCGCGCGGCAGGCTTCCCCTCGGCGTTTGTGGGTGCGCCACCGTGCATAATATCACGCAAGCGCGAACCGCCCCACGTTTGAGGGTGCGCGGGCACATCGCTCCGCGACGTTTGCGGGCGAATCGCCCTCTGTCAAATCGCGCGGGCGCGTCGCCGCCATTTGAAGGCGCGCTGGCACGTCTTGCCCGCGAGGTTCGCGCGTGCTCCGACCTGAACCTGGTCGCGCGGGCATGCGGATCCCCCCGGGCGGTGCGCGGGTAGATCGCCCCTCAGCGTATGCGAGGATTCCGCCCCTCGATCAAAGATACGCGGGCACATCGCCCCCACCGAAGGTGCGCGGGCATACCGCCTCTCGACAATCGCGGGCGCGCGGCCCTTGGTCGAGGTGCGCGGGGATGCCGACCCCCAGTCAGTCGCCCGGGCACGTATAGGACACACGCGTGCCCGAGACGATTGCAGACCACCCGAGATGTTCTCGCGGTTTGCACAGGGATGGGAACGGGGGCGCGATGAAAGATGGTCGTAAGAAAATTGAAGGAGGAAGGCAACAGGGCGAGGATTGAAGGCGCGAGGAAGGGGAATGGACATATCCGAAATCACGGGGCGTGGGGCAGCCAAGGTTCACGCATGAGGCGCATGCCCTTTCATGCACCGAATGAATCAGCGGCGCCCTTGCAAAATCGCTGGCCATATAGATGCGTCGGACGACATTGCCGCACTTTCGCACTGACAACATGAAGTCTTTATTGTTCTGCGTGCGATGCACGGCTTCTGGCTGTCAGCCGTAATCGACGGGGGGGTGGGGCGAACGCTCTCGGCGCCCACCGCGACAAAACCTCAACTGGAACGTGTTTCACCACCGCGCCTTGCTTCCTGTGTCCGACGTCTGGTGACGCAAGGCTTTTCCGCAAACCCTCCATGAAGGCGAAAACGCCCAAGAAAGGAAACGGAAACCTTGCTCACGCCCGTGGCCCCAGGGTTCGGCGATCCTGCAGTCCCGCCAGGGAGCTGTGGTCTAGCCGAAGTCAACTCCTCCTCCTCCTCCTCCTCCTCCTCCTCCTCCTCCTCCTCCTCCTTCTCCTCCCCCTCCTCCTCCTCCCCTCCTCCTCCTCCCTTCCTCCTCCTCCCCCTCCTCTGGCAGGGCCAGCTTCTGATCCCTGCCCCTGGCCATCGGGCATCTACTGACTGGGGTCAATCGAAGCCCGGGCCATTTTCCTGCAAGACCTTGCAGGCTCCTGCTCACGAGCCCAGGTCAAGGCACCCCTGGCCCTGAAGGATCCTGGAGTCGGGCACTCTGGCTGACCCCCGCTTGCATGGACCCCCGCCTCTTGAGCCCCAAGGCTGGGCTGCCGCTGTTGCTCTGGCGCTGGGGCTGCGCCTTTCGCTCCTGGCGCCCCAGGCGGACCGCGGTTTAGCCTCACCCACACGGCCATGATCGGCTTTCACCCGTGGGAGGACAGCCTTGGAACGCCCGCTCCTCCTCCTCCTCCTCCTCCCCTCCCTCCTCCTCCTCCCTCTCCTCCTCATCCTCCTCCTGTACCTCCTCCCTCCTCCTCCTCCTCCTCCTCCTCCTCCAACTGTACCTCCTCCTGCCTCCTCTCATCATCGTTTCTTTCCCCTCGTTTTTCGTTTCGCGCTGCCGATCGGTCGCCCGTGCGGGGACTGGTTCTGGGGCCTCGCACACGCTGGCCTGGGCCGGGTTCACCCCCGCGCACCGCGCGGGCATAGCGCCACCCATCCGCTGGCGACCCTGCACGGCCAGACGGCAGGGCATGGCCCTGACATCCGCCACCACGCCAGGACCCCCCGTCCTGCCACAGGAGGCTCAGGGCGAGGACACAGAGGTTGGAATTGAGGAACAAAAAAGAGGAACAACAAAACCTGCATAAAAAACATGAACTTTTGACGGTCCGCGTGGATTTCTGGGATCTGAAGTGGAGCCCCCTCCCTGGCGCGCAGAGCGCGCCAGGGGCGGCGCCGGAGGCGCCGCCAAAAGGTCCCAGCGCAGATCCAAGAGACCCGCGCGGACCAGCAGCAGTTTCTGCTTATGCCGTCTCCTGTCCTTCGACGGAGGGGGGCGCGGCCAGAGCCCGACGAGAACACCCCAGAAGAAGAGCGACAGCGGCCGCGGCGAGCCCCGAACGGGGTACAGTACGAGCTCGACCTCAGGAAACCTTCCGCAATACACCCGACCCTGAGACCCCAAGATGCCCATTGACTTCTGGTGTGGGAGAGCGTCACGCTTTCCATGGCAACCGTCGAAGCCCAAGAAACCCCGGGCACAGGAACGTTTTCTAATTCGGCGCACCGACATTGGGCGGAAGGGGGGGGGACGGGGGGGGTCTGGCTCGGGACCTCTGCTTAATGAGACTGCTTGTCCTATGGAGGAGACTCCAACTGCTTGAAACGGGCGCCCCAGACAGCCAAGGTCTACTCCATGGGAGCGGGGAGCGGGGGGCGGGCTGCGAGGGCCCGCGGCGATCGGCACAGCAATGACTACGAAAACGATCACCTCCCTGGCGCGAGCGGGTGCTTCTTCGCATGGGCTTCCACTGTAGCCTCCCGCGGGGCCGGCGGACACTTGCCCGATGAGGAGGAGGAGGAGGAGGAGGAGGAGGAGGAGGAGGAGGAGAAGGATGAGGAGGAGGAGGAGGAGGAGGAGGACTGCCACTCTTCCCCCCCTCCGCGCCCCTCCGTGCCTCTGCTCTTCCGCCATTCTTCTCGCACGGACTGGGGAGGCGCCAGGGGCGGAGTCCTGTGCAAGAAGAGGAAGTGCCCCTCGAAGTGCCTCCCCGGGAGGGAGGGGGCACGGGATGCCTGCGCTCGTGGGCTCCAATCTCCTCCCCAACCCTCGCCCGCCCCACCCTGACCCTCTCTCCTCCCTCGTCCCTCTTCCCTCTCCTTTCCTCAGCCCACGCGCCATCGAAACATCCCTCCCTCCTCCACTATGTCCCCTATCCTCAAGTGTCGGCACTTGGATCTTTTCCGGTATCCGTTCAACATAGAGCCTCGGACTTCGAGGCGGATGCAGACGTGGCCACGAGAAGACCCCAAGGCACCCAAAGGCGCGCAACAATACCCCCAGACCTCGATCCTCTGACCTCGACACCCCTCCTCGCTCTCGCCTGTTGCTGACCGGGCACGAGACGGGTGCGCTCAGCCTACGAGCCTAGAACCTCGGGGCGGACGCCGCCGTGGCCGCAAGAGGACCCCCAGCAGCCAACAGAAAGCGTACAGGCACGACCCCGAACCTCGATCCTCTGACCCCGACCCCCCTCCTCGCCCACTCGCCTGTTGCTGATGGGGCACGCGACGCGCGAGTTGAGGGGCGTCTGGAAGGCCGGCCGGGGCCTCTTCGGTGGCAACTCGTGGGAGCCTCCAACACCATCTTGTCGGCTCTTGCGAATCGACGCGCGTCGACGCGAAGCCGCCGCGCATGGACGCACATCGACGCCAAATCGACGCCAGTCGACGCACATCGACGCTACATCGGCGCTACCTCATCGACTCCCAGACGGTGGCCGACGTGAGGCGACGCTGAAGACGGAACTGCGAGGGCATACAAAGGCTCCCATGATTTGCTACCGAATTGAGGAATGAAAAAACGCCCCTACCCTGGGTTACAAGTGCGTGGTCAGTAGACCTCCTGGGAGCTCCCACAGGCCAGGGAGCCGCCAGGACGCCACGCCACTCGCGATACGCAGGGTTTACCCTGTCAGCCCAGAGGAGGTTCAGCACACAGCGCCTCGTAAACCAGGGAAGGGGCGTTTTCTACGCCCTTGACCGATGGCCTCCGCGGTGCGGCGGGGAGCGGCGGGGGCTCGCTGGAGGCGTCGTACAGCAGCACCGTCGGGTGCCACGGCGCCTCCGCGGCGTGCCTCCGGCCGCGGGGGGCGCGGCTGCGCCGCACGCTCGCAAGTCGCCAGCGTTAAGTCGGGCGTGTCCCCCTACTGCCTACTGGGGGATTTTGGGCGAAAAAGCCGGAGGCGCCGAAGGGGGGTCCAGCGCCGATCCGAGAAATCCGCGCGGACCTCCGAGATTGTATGTTTATGCCACTTTTTGTTCCCCTGACAAATAGCAGGATTCCCAATATTTTCCAATTATCTTCTGGGTTTCTGTCTTCCCGCTCAACTCCCACAGTTTCCCATACCTTCTTGGGGATCGACTATCATTGTGTCTGTGTGTTTTCCCCTCCTGAGTCCCGCCCGTGCGCCCGCACGGGCCGCGCGCTGGCATCGGGGGCGACAGTCGGGCCGGACGAAAGGGGGGGATAGCAAAGGGGGGCTTTGTGAGAGCAGCTCGCGCAGCTGATTTCCTCTGGGCGCCGGGAGGCGCCCAGAGGAGTGGGCCCGGCGGCGGGGCCGCAACCAGCTGCATGCAGCAGATTTCGTAACCCCCTCTTTCCTCATCCCCCCCCTTTCGTTCGGCCCGAGACCGAGGGGGGCGGGTGGCCCAGGGGAGAGCCGCACGCGTGTCTGGGGGCGCACAATGGTCCAGGCCTGCGGCGAGGCTCCCTGGCGAACGCGTGTGATGCTGGGTCGGGCATGCCCTCCTGCAGGCGGCTCTTGAAAGAACCATCATAAAACAGTGAACACATGTACCACAATAGTCAAGAAATAATATAAACATTGCCCCAATACTATGTTTCGTATACACATACATCTGTATAAATATGTACGTGCTAGAACCATCGCGCGCTTTGCGCGCGCTCAAGTTCTAGCTAGCTTCTTGGGGCCTCCTCGGAGCATCCTGGGCTGCTTCTTGAAGTCGTCATGGGATCTTCTTGGCATGTCTTCGGGGGCCTCTTAGAAAGAGTTTTGAAGCTTCTTGGGTGCCGCCTTGGTGCCTCTTGACGCCTCTTTTGGGCTTCTTGGGGGCCTCTTGGGGCCTCTCGAGGGCATTTCGGGGGCTTCGTGGGGGCATCTTGGGGCCTCTTTGGGCGGAGAGCTTGATTTTTCAGTTCGCGTTCCATCTCTTGGGCCCCTCTTGGGGCCTTCTTTTTTCTTTTGCGTCAAACGCGCCCCAACAACTGCGGGCTGTCATCACGCTGCACCGTGCTAGTCCGGGCAGCGACCGCACACCGTGGCGTCCAGGCTGCCCGTTTCCCTGCGCGCAAAACGCACGCACAAAGCATGGCCAGTCCAAGAAAAAAACGACGACGGTGCGTACACTGGTGCTCTGGCGCCTAGGCGCAGCCTTCTCCTCCAGTTTCTCCTCTTCCTCCTCTCTTTCCACCAGGCCGCCACGCTTCCGTCCTCAGAGCTCCTGAAGCCCAAGGCCTCGTGACTATGATGCCGCAGTCGCAATCAACATCTAAAAGTGTATCTCTGAGGCCATCTACAGGCGCATCTCTGATGCCATCTGCACTGAATTCTCTAGCTTAGAATTGCCGAACGCCATCTACAGGGTCTACAGGGGCACTGTCAATGCCATCTAAAAGGCCCATCCACGGGCGATCGACAGGGACGTATTCAATGTCATCCACAGGTCCTTCTGTGGTACCATCTACAGGGCCATCTTCAATACCATCTAGAAGGCCTATCCACGGGCGATCGACAGGAACGACTTGAATGTCATCCACAGGTCCTTTTGTGGTACCATCTACAGGGCCATCTTCAATGCCATCTAAAAGGCCCATCCACGGGCGATCGACAGGAACGACTTTAATGTCATCCACAGGTCCTTCTGTGGTACCATCTACAGGGCCATCTTCAATACCATCTAAAAGGCCCATCCACGGGCGATCGACAGGAACGATTTTAATGCCATCCACAGGTCCTTCTGTGGTACCAGCTACAGGGCCATCTTCAATACCATCTATAAGGCTGTATGCGTTTGCAGTAGGTGCGCACCGCGGATCACTCACCGAGCTGCAACAGAGCGTCGGCATCAAAGGCCAGCTTGTCATTTTGACTGGGAGCCTGACATTATTCTTTAGCGCGCACTTCTTGAACTTGCCAGCCTCTGCCTCCGCCGAAACTGACTTCGTCAACATCTCAACAGAGAGAAAGCCCGGAGGATCAACCTGGTGCGGGTGATCGCCCAAAAGCCATTCTGATATATTGCGGTCCCACTGCCAACTGTTATGCGCACCGCCGCCATGACGGACGTATATAGAAGGCTCGTCAACAACGAGGAGACTGCGGCAAGACAGCAAGGCACGTTCGCTGAACTCGTAGTCCTCTGCTACGCTGACATTCGCAAATCCGCCTACCTTCAGCGCCATTTCCCGCTGGTACACCAGCGAGCCAAGAAACACCGCTCTGTCCTTCTTGTAGCCCTCATCAGTGACCATCTCATACTTGAAGAACGTGGCATTCGGCAATTGCACAAAATAGGAATGCGGCAGAGCTGTCATCTGAGCCCGCCCTGACATGATAGGCTCCACCTGCGCACGTATGCGCCAAGGCGGGTACATGTCGTCATCGTCCCAATGAACTATGACTCCTCCCCTTGCTGCTTGCAGGGCAATGTTTCTTTTCTCGCCGATGGATGCTGGTTCCTGTAAGCGAATCACCTGCACTTCCAAGCCCTTCCACGAGAAAATATGGTTGCGGAGCCTCTGCAACCTGGGTTGCAACGTTGATGCGATTGACTCGGAACCATCGTCTACAATAACAACTTCAAGTGACGGGTAATCCTGCGAAACGATTTGCTCCAATGCATTATGTAAAAACGCGTTCCGGTTGCAAGTGAGCACAGTTACCGATGCCATCACTGACGGTTCAAGAGGACTTGAAGACACCATAGACACCTTGTCGGGCTTCTCTGTCAATTCATGCAGCAACTTGTTGACCCATGCCCACCCTCTACTCTTTAATCTTAATCGGGTGGACATTGCCGCTGTGCCTGGGGTTTCAAGCATACAAGATCTGGCCCTGGACCTGCAACGGACCATCTCCCCACACCATTGGCATTCAGGGTTCGCGTCACAGGCCGAGGCGTGTTGCCCCGCCATGGCACAAGAGTTTGACGCCACGAGCAATTCTTGAAACTTTGCGACAATACGGTTGTTACAGAAATCCGCTGGTCGATTTGCAGGAACCGCCCATGAACATAGTGGCAGCATTTCAAATTTCATATCTCCGCATGCGTGGAAAATCAACGACTTGTTCACCAAGTCCATATTGCCATTGCAAGGGTTGTAGATCCCAGGCAAAGCTTGAAATGTACCGTCTTGCACTGTAGAACTGGATACATTGAAATACGTGCTGAAAAACAACTGTTCGGGGAATCGAGACGGCTTGACTGTTGGAACGGCAAGCAATAAGTCGTGGAAGCGGTCCTTGCTGGTCTTTGCCACGAGCACGCCGACATTGATCATGGCTGCTTGCATGCCCCTCCCTTCGTACGCATCCCTCGCGGCACACAGCTCTGCCGCGCATGCAGAGAAGACGTTGTCGGCTCCTCTGCCTACGAGAAACGCATCAGTGTCCACATACGCCACTTGTTTTGCATGCTGGGTCAAGTTGAACATGTGCACCTTTCAGGGGGACGTAAGACCTGGGTACAGTGGACTCGGAAATCCCCGACGAGTCGTCAAAAAAATGACGAGGCCGAGCCTGCATTTTGACGAGGCCTCCCGCTGCAGACATCCCACGAAACTCCTCCTCGTCAAAATCCGAGGCGCGGTCGTCAAAAAACGATGGCGAACCCGAGTCCTGGCAAACCGTGTCTTACGCTCCCCCGAACCTTGCTGAAGACCCCCGACCAGTATGAGGGTGGCGCCCAGGGAACACCGACGTGGCCAACGGGCATGACCACGCTGCCCGTCTCCCGCAGTCTTGCCAGGCTCTCGTCGTTCACGTCTGGGGTGACCATGGTGATGTGAGGGTACGACGAGTAACGCTGCACGGAGAGTATCTGCATTTCCACTGCAGCGGTGCTGTTGGCACTACTGCCAACCAGCAGGGTTACCCATGCTCTTTCGCTGGGCTCGCGCGCGGTCGATTCGGACAGTTCCACGCCAAGCACGCGGCTGGCCCTTCTCTTGCTATACAAGTGCGAGGCGCTGAGGAAACATGTGCCGTCTTTGTCGGACTCTGCCTCGGCGCATTCATCATGTGTGCCCACATCTCTACTGGGGATGTCCAGCTCCTGCGTGGGTACGGCTGCAAACGGATTCGTGTTGGACGCCGCGGCGCCTTGTGCAAGACAAACAAAAACTCGAGAGCACTGATGTGATGATGTCCCATCGGAGGAGGCGCATCGCCTCGGGTGTGCTTCAGTTGCGGAGGGCTGCTTTACGCAGGCCCAAGCTGGGGAAGACCAAGAAACTGAAACTGCCTCCTGCCCAGATGCCTTGAGCTAAAATGGCTATGGACCCCCTCTTGGGGCCTTCTTGGGACCCTCTTGCGCCGTCTTGGGCGGCTCTGGGGCCGTCTCGGGGCTCTCGTCGGCCGTCTTGGGGCCCTCTTGGGGGCCTCTTGGGCCGTCTTGGAGCGGTTTTGGGAGCCTCGTGGGCGGTGCTTTAGCGCCGGAAACACGAAACAGCGAAAATACAAAAAAAAAACATTAAAGAAAAACAACTGAAAATCAACGATCTTGCCCTCTCGGGGCGCTCTTGGGCGGCATCTGAAAGGCCTCTTGGGGGGGTGTTGGGTGCCTCTGGGGCAATTTAAAACGCATCGTGCGTCGCCAGAGACCCCTGGAGGGCGCCTTGGGGGTGTCTCGAGACCATCTGGGGCAGCCGGGATTGCTGTCTGAGGGATCCCCAAGGCGATGCTCGGCCTCCAAATGGCGGGCCCGCGCCCCGGGCCCCACACTTGTGGTCGTGGTCCCGGCCCCCGGCCCCCGGACCCTGTCCCCCGTTATGCACATAAAATACTAGTGTGGACCCGTGGATTAAATCCACGGAGTTGAGCGGATCGAAGTTTTGTGGCGCGCACTGGGTGGTACGACGCTTTCACCTATTGCAGCAAATCCTTTGAAGCTTGTTCTGGAGATGTTCTCCCACCGAAGGCGCAGAATCCAGCGAGGCGGGCCGTCGGGGTGCCGCTAAGGAGCTTTTTGGGGCCCCTTTGGGGGCCTCCCGGGGCACTCTTGGTCCGTGTAGGGGCTCTCTTGGGCCCTCTCCGGGCCGCCTTGGGCGCCTCTTGGGCCGTCTTGGGGCCGTCGGAGAGCCGCTGGGGAGCTTTTCGGGGCCCCTTTGGGGGCCTCTCGGGGCACTCTTGGTCCGTGTAGGGGCTCTCTTGGGCCCTCTCGGGGCCGCCTTGGGCGCCTCTTGGGCCGTCTTCGGGTCTCTTGGGGCCATGGTGGGCTGTCTTTGGCCCCTCTTGAGGTCCTCTTGGGCCGTCTTGGGCCGTCCTGGGGCAGTCAGGAACCATCTTGGAGCCCTGTTGGGGACGTCTCGGGCCGTCTTGGGACGGTGTCGGAAGCCTCTGGGGCCGTCGTGGGCGCGTCGAATAGGGGAAAAGATAATGCACAGAAAGTAGCAATTTTACGAGGGTGATGCTACGATTTTTGTGTGATAGGGCCCAATGTGGGAGGCATCTTGGGCCGTGCGAAGGCCGTCTTGGGCAGGCCCGGGAACTCGGGTGGCGACGGGCAGGCTCGTCTGAAGTGCTCTGGGGCCGTTTGGAGGCTCTCTGGGGGCCCAGGGCCACTAGGAGGTGTTTGGGAGCCGTTTGGGGCCGTTTGGGGGCTCTCGGGGGGCCGGGGCCACTAAGGGCTCTTTCGAATTCATTCGAATGGATTGAACTGTTCCTCCTGTGGAGGGACATGTCCGACTTAAGTGTCATGCCTTGCCCCCGGGTCATTCCACATTCGCCCCCATCGTCGCCTCCGACGGCAGCAGAGTGCGCGAAAGGCCAGGAGGGCAGCCGACGCAAACACCCGCCGAGAGGGCCCGAGGTGACGAGCCCGCGCGCCGCCTCTCCATGGTGGCGCGGCTGGCCGCGACGGCGGCGTCGTCCCACCTGTGCGGCCGGCGGCCGTGCTGCCGCGCTCCTCCCCTTCTCCCTCCCTCGGCCTCTCTCGCCCCTCCCCCCCTCGCCCTCGTCCGCGTTTCTCCCTTCAACATTCCACCCTCCCTCCCTCCCTCCCTCCGTTCCCCTCGCCTTCGTCCCTCAGTTCTCGCTTCCTCTGTCTCACTCGTCCTCTTTCCCGCACAATGTCCGCCACCCTTCCGCTTTCGTCGAGCCGTCAAGCTGCCGACTAAACCAGCACAAAGCAAGGGCCGCCGCGTCTACTTCGACGAGGGGACGGCTACACCACCACCACCGCCACCACCACCACCACCACCACCACCATATGGCCGACGAAGCGAACCAGATGGGCGAAATGTTCCACGGGGTTTGCGGGAAAGACCAGCAACGGCCAACTACATGGACGTTGACGGATGGACCAATTCCTGCACCTCGACGACCACCCGAGGGGCGAGGACCTGGCCTGGCCGCAGGCGTCCCCGACGGCACGACCAGACTGAGGAGCTGGGCGGCTACGTTGTTGCCGAGACCTCCCGCCACGGTGCTCCTCGAGCCATGTGCGGGATCAGTCGCCACTGCTGGACAGATCTGAAGGGGCCCTGGGACACACAAACAAATACACACAGATAGAAGGACAGAAGGACTCCCCAGAGCTTCTGGCTTTCTGTCAGTCTCCCCCCCACTGCCCATATGGTTCCCATATGTTCTGGAGAATCAGCGATTACTCAGAGAATAAAGGGAGGGGGGTCTCATTTCGGAGGGGGGGTCTCTTCCAGGCTATCTTGGAGGGCCTGTGGGGTCTGGGGACGATGTTTTGGAGGGTTTTCCCACGGGGGAGGTCTGAAATGACTTGTCTTGGAGGGTCCAGACCCCCTCCCCTTTTATTACGAAATCTGGAGTATGTTCTGGGGAATCAGCGATTACTCGTGTCTGTGTTTGTTCCCTCCCGATATCTGTCTCCTCGCTGTGCCCTCCGCCGTGGCGGCGCGACGCGCACCCCCAGGCCGCGGCGCATGCCCGAGCCGCGTGGCTCTCCGAGCCTCTCCCCTCCTCCCTCCTCCCGCCCTCCTCCCCTCCTCCCCTCCTCCCCTCCTCCCTCCTCCCGCCCTCCCGCCCTCCTCCCCCTCCCCTCCTCCCCTCCTCCCCTCCTCCCCCCTCATCCCTCCTCCCCTCCCCTCCTCCCCCCCCTCCTCCCTCCTCTTCTCCTCCCTCCTCCCCTCCTCCCCGTGGTTGTGTTCCCTCCTGAAGACCAGTGCGCGAGGCCGCAGCTCTCCTGGGACCCCGCGCGCCCGGCCACGGCAAGACCCTCGAGCCGCGGCCCGGACACCGTCGCCACCGCTGCACAGCTCACTGCGCACGGCCACGCCTTGGCCGAGCCACATCGGCTACAAGCAGGAGTGACCCTGGGTTTAAATCGGGCGTGTCCTCAATGGGCCCCGGAAACGGCAGAGCCTTTTTTTCACCGTTTCCGAAAAAGTGCCCCTTGAAAATGGACACGGCAAAAAAACGGCGACCGGAAACGGCAACAAAAACTGCTCCAGGGTTGGAACCGGAGCGGGAGCCCGTAAAAGAACGGCGACGGAACCAGTAACAAAAACGGCGTCGCAACCTGCAAAAAACGTCAAAACGGAACCGGTAAAAAAACTGCTTTGTCGTTTCCAGGGCCCACTACGGGCGTGTCCCTCTACAGTGGGAATGTTCAAAAATAGTCAAACAAATTCGCCGACCCCTTGGGGATCATCGGCGTGTGAGATGCCCCCCCCCTCCCCAAACCCTTCCCCTGGGAGCCCGGTCGGGTCGATTTGGAAGGGGGGGGGGTGCCCCCGACGAGCGCACCACGGGCTCTTCCGGGCCCAAGAGGGCTTAAAGATGGGCCAAGAGGCCCCAAGAGGGTTCCAAGACGGCCAACGAGGGCCCCGGGACGCTAAACGAGCGCTCCAAGACGCCCAAGATGGCCCAAGAGGCCTCCAAGACAGCCCCAGGACTCCCAAACAAGCCTCCCAAGAGGGCCCCGAGAGGCTAAAATTGTTGATTGTCCATTGTGTTTTTCTGTGTTTTTTTGCATTTTCGCATTTTCGGATTCCCGTCGTTCCAAGACGGCCCAAGAGGCCCCGAAGACAGCCCCAAGACGGCCCAAGAGGCCCCCGAGACGGCCCCAAGACGGCCCAAGATAGCCCCAAGACGGCCCAAGAGGTCCCCAAGACGGCCCAAGAGGGCTCCAAGACGGCACCAAGAGGGGCCAGAGGGCGACCAGAAGTTCAAAACATCTAGATTTCCGCTCCCAGGAACCCCAAGGGGGCCCCAAGAGTGCCCCAAGAGGCCGCTAGCGGCTCCCAAGAGGCCCCCAAGACGCCCCAAGGAGCCCTCAAGAGGCCCCCAGGAGTCCCCCAAAAGACCCTCAGAAGCTCCGAGACGGCTCCCAAATGGCTTCAAAACTGCCTTCCATAGGCCCCCGAGAGGCGTGGCGCGAGATCCCGACACACATACAAGAAGCCTCTAACCCATAACCTACAGCCCAGAGCCTCCTCTCTGTGTCCCCCTCGTCCTCCTCCTCCTCCTCCTCCCCCTCCTCCTCCTCCACCTCCTCCTCGTCCCCCTCCTCCTCTTCCCCCCTCCACCTCATCCTCATCCTCTTCGATTCTTGTCCCCCCCATCCTCCGCTTCACCCCCCATGCTTCTCTCCCCGTCCTCCTTTTCCTCCCCAGCACGCGCGCCCGATTGGTCATCATTTGCACGTTTTGCACTTCAGGGTGCCCTTCTTTTCGTCGCGCGCGACATTGGTAGGGTCCACGGAAAACGGCGACTTCGGTAGTCTTCTCTTGCACGGGCCGCTACACTGATACGCCTTGCAACTGCGCGCTGAGAACCCGAGGGTCTTACAGGCTCCGCACACCACTTTGGCTCCTTTTGCTGCCAGGAGGCCCCCGAGAGACCTACCAGGAGTCCCAAGGGGTCGGCGGTGCGGCGTAAGCCAAAGAATAGTCAGGGGACGATGCTTTGACTATGCTTGAATACTTATGTTGGGTATTTTGTAGTATTTATGTTTCGCCAAAAATCCCCCTGTAGGTGGACACGCCCGACTTAACCCTGGGTAAGAGTGACCTCTGGTGCGCGGCTTTTGGGGGGCCGCGAAGGGGCCAAACACAAGCGCGCAAGACGCCATTGCCGCCTCGCGTTCGGCGATCGTGGGACCCCACTTGGCCCGCACCACAGGCCCCTCCGGCGAGAAGTCACTGTTACGTCTGGCCGATCAATTCGGACGCCCGAAATGGGTACGGAAATCATGGGTACAATGCCCAACAAAAAATGCTGTCCCAAACCAACAACGGCCGCTGTTGGGCAGGCGGCCTTCTGTCTCGAATGGACACAGGCCGCGGCGGCGTGGACAGCGAGTCCTGGTCAAAATGAACAGGAACTGCTGTTGGGCATTGTACCAATTCTTTCCGTACCCATGTCGTTCGTGCCGAATCAAAGATTCCAACCACGGGAGGAGGAGGAGCGGGAGGAGGAAGAAGAAAAACAACAACACGAAGAAGGAAGAAAACGAAGACGAATCAGAGGGGAAAGGGGGGGGGGGAGGAGGAGAAGGAGGAGAAGGAGTAGGAGTAGGAGTAGGAGTAGGAGGAGGAGGAGGAGGAGGCGACGTGGCGGCAGCAGGCGGCCACTCCCTGGACGGCGGGGGCCGCTCCTCGCGTCTGCAAGCGCTGCCCGGTGGCCTCCACCACCGTCGCCGCCCGGTGCGCGCGCGGCGGCGGGCCGGGAGGGCCCCGACGCGCACCGCGGAGCCCGAGAGCTTGCCGTCGCTCGGACGTCCACTTCCCGTGCATTTGTCGGTTTCGTGCGTGTTTTTTTGCTCGGTGGTCCAGGATGGTCCTCGATGCTTCTCGCCGAGAAAAAATACACACGTCCGAGCGATGCCAAGAGAGTGAGTCCTGCAGTCGCGCTTCACCAGCACACCCGGGGGGGGAGCTGCTCGCACGGACGAGGAGCGCACGCCACCTCGTCTCAATGAGTATACGTAGCGCCCCGCAAGTGCGGATGAGAGTGAGGGGGCGGCGGGGACGACTGCCGTCTGCGAAGCTCTCAAGAAGCCCGCCGCAGGCGCAAAATTGTCAAGCTATGCAAGGAGCCCGCCGCGGGCGCCGATTTTTGTTTTTGAAACATGTAATTCGGTGGGTCGGGGGTTGGGTCGCAAGTGGGTCGCGGGTGGGTCGACGGTGGGTCGCGGGTGGGTCGCGGGCCAGGTCGCGGGTGGGTCGCGGGTGGGTCGCGGGTGGGTCGCGAGCGGGTCGCGGGGTGGATCGCAGGTGGGTTGCGGGGTGGGTCGCGGGTGGGTCGCTGGCCGGGTCGCGGGGGGGACGACGACAACCACCACCACCACCACCACCACAACAACAACACCAACATCAGCAACAACACCAACACCAACACCAACACCAACACCAACACCAACACTAACACTAACACTATCACGAACACTAACACTAACACTAACACTAGCAACAACAACAACAACAACAACAACCACCACCACAACAACAACGACAACATCAACAACAACAACAACAACAACAACAACAACAACAACAGCAACAACAACAACAACAACAATAATAATCACAACAACAACAACAACAACGACAACAACAACAACGACAATAACAACCACAACCACAACCACAACAACAGCAGCAGCAACAACAGCAACATTAAAAAAACGCAACAAGCAGAATCCTCACGACGGATCCGCACTTTGATAATACATAAAACAAAAAATGTGGAAGCTCAGGTCGGGAGGTGGAGGTTCTGAGGGATTTGTACGTGGAGGAGGTCCCGAAGGAGGGAAAAGGGCAATCCTGGGCACCAGACTGTTGCAGTCGTGCTCGGAGCTCTCGGCCCGATACTGAGGGCCACAGGTTTAGGCGCCCCGCAACTCAGGACGTGGAGCCAGGCTCCACCACCTCCCAGGAGTCTGGAAGCCAGGACCACTG